TATCTCAAGTTGTTTCCGTAGATTTCTGTTATTTTGCAATTTAGAAAGATTCTCGGATATTTCTTTACTATTCAAACACTATTCGATTATAGGGCTAATTCATGGGCTAATGGTCATATAGAATATAATAATAATTTTGAAGAATTGCACTACATTTTTCTTCTACTTACTCTGACATATTATTCTATTCTTTGTAAAAATCTACTTAATATATTGTCCTTTGCGGAGTCTATGAATGTTGCTGTGTTATCATGAACCATTTACATTTAGTTTGAGAATTGCTTGTAGAGTATCAGTTTTAGTGGGTAATTTTTATAACAAAGAGTATCACAAAGATAGACCGAGATTTGTATACGTCTCCATGAAAGCTCATACTAACGTTTGTCTTCGCATAATTGTAACGATATTTTCACATCGTTTGTTTTGATGATTTCTCCTCCTATTACCTGTGTCTTTTGGCTTCCTTTGTACCTTCTGTTTCGTTTTTTTCAATTTCATATATAAATATATCTGCTCTGTATGTAAACAACGTCATGCTGAATATTTAGTAAGACGTAATTCTGTCAACACTAACTCGTCTTCTATCTAAAAATTGTCACAGTTGTGTTTATTGATTCGATACATGACGCTAGTTTCGATAAAGCTTATTTTTCTGGAGATCGATCGTTGGATGTTTTTCACCGACACAAACGAAATAATTGACAATAATGAATTTCTTATGAGATAATATTCCTGATCATGATCAGACGATCTGATGGAAAATTTGTGTCTTTATTAAAAAAGAATTTTACCTTTTCAGAAGATATATGAAGAGAAATGTTATTGCACAAAGTAGTTTTTCTTTTAGTTTTTGACAAAATACCAAAGCCAATAGCTCAGTCAACCAAACCAAAGAAGCATATTTTCTTTGCCTATGCGGAAGAAGATGAGTCTAATGCATCAGCCGCTGAAAAATTAAAAAAATATTTCATCCAACGACGATTGAGAGTTTATCATCCTCGACAAAATGAAGATATTAATACCATAATTGCGAGTGGCATTGAAAATGCTGCTGTGGTTCTAGTTTTTCCATCTTCTTCGTTAGAAATATCAAAAGATGGATCAAAACTACTGAATTATGCTGATCAAACTAAAACACCTATTTTAACTATTAAGATTTGTCAAGATTTTCAACCTGTAGGCTGGCTAGGTGCTATTTTAGCTCCTACAAAAAGTTGTTCAAATCACTTTGACGAAGTTATGCAAACTCTGATGTCAATGGGAATCAAAACCAGTGACTTTGTTCTTGAAAGAGATGAAGAAAACGAACCACAGCCAATAGAAGAGTATCTATTTAAGGGTGAAACAAAATCGGGGAATCTGAAAGCCAATTATCATCAATCTGGAAAAGAATATCCGATGGAATTTAGAGTATTTACTAAATTGAATTAAGATAAATGTGAATATCTAATTTATAATGTTTTTTTAGTTTTTGGGTTTAAAACATGGAAAAATATTTGGTCAAGGAGATGATAAAGATGGAGCTTTTACTCTTGCTGGGGAATACAAGCTTGAAGATGGTCCTGGTGTTATCAAAATGCAAAAGCAATATGTTGGGAAAGATTCTGTTAAATATCGAGGAAAGATTTCTATTGAAGCATTAAATTGTATAATAGAAGGACAATGGAAAATAGGCAAGATGCATGATAAATTCTCCATGCATTTGATTCTTCCACGGCCATATACAGCAGATATTGAAAAGATACCACCACCGCAAATTTCACGAAAACAAGGAAATAAAGTTATGATTTCTTATTGTTCATGTAAATATGATTTAGCTCAAAAGATAACTAAAGGATTGATTGCTAAAGGTATTCCTGCTGTTTGTCCACCAATGCGAGTTCATGAAATGATAAAAACAGCAGCTCAAAAAGCGAGAGTCGTTGTACCTTTAATGAGTAAAGCATATGAAGCATCTAATACGGCAAAACTTGTTCTATCATATGCCGATGAAGCTGGTATTCCAATAGTTCCTGTAAAGGCGCAAGATCCTTACACGCAAAGTGGTTGGCTCGGCGTCATTTGTGCTGGTGCATTATGGGTACAAATGACGAATGCTAATGAATTTGAGAAAAAGCTTGATGAACTAATACTACAACTACAACCATATGTCAACGATTGTGGCGATGAAGAGCAAGAAACGGATATCCTTGCTGATGAAGATTTTGTTGCAGGTTATTATATGCAGTCGGGAGAAGAATTTCCTTTGCAGTTTGATATGTTTACTATGGTAAATGGATATATTGCTGGTGAAGGAGAAGATGAAGTTGGTATATTTGTAATCGATGGGGGTTATAATTGCGTACCGGATACAGAAGAGTTAGAATTTGAATTTGAAAAGCATTATATTGGAAAATATGATGTTCAATATTCTGGAACTATAACTGAAGAAGAATCTGTGTTGTTCTTCGATGGAAAATGGTCTCTAGACAACTTATCAGATAAATTTCATTTAGAAGTACCTGTTTATGAACCATCGGAATCTGACAGTTTACATATTATGTTGAGTTATCAATGGAATAATCAAGAGTTAGTTAAGAAAGTAGCAAATAAGCTCAAGCAAAACAATATTCCAATTTGGTTTGATATTGCTGGAGATATGAAAGGTAATATCAATTCTGCTATGGCTAATGGTGTTGAAAGTTCTGCGATGATTATCAGTTTCAATACTCTTGCTTATAGTAAAAGTGTTAATTGTCAAAAAGAATTTACATATGCTATGCAATTGGAGAAAAAAATTGTTCCTGTTCTTCTTGAGAATGAGAAGAATTTTCAGGATACATGGTTAGGAAAAGCAATAGCTTCTTTAGACAAAGTGAGTATGGAAAATGAAAGTCTATTTGATTCCAGTTTTGATGTTGTTTTGCAAAATATTAAAAAAGTTCTTCAAGAGAAAGTAAAAGAAGATTCTAATCAATCTGAAGTAATTACACGGTTTGAAGGTGGTACTGTTCATGGAAAATATTATCATCTTGATCAATCTTTTGATATGATCTTTGATTTCTTTAGTTTAATAGAAGGAAGAGTTTCAGGTCAAGGTATCGATAACGGCGCAACTTTTACAATGGCTGGAAATTATGATAATGAAGGAAATATTAGTTTCAAAAAACAATACGTTGGAAAACATGCTACTGAATACAAAGGAACACTTCATTGCGATGAACTGGGCGGATTCAGGATCAAAGGAAAATGGAGTGTTGGTAATTCAACAGGTGACTTTTACGTAGAAAGCATTGATGATAATGAAGATGATAATGAAGATGATAATGAAGATGATAATGAAGATGATA